CAAAAACAACAACACCTTCGGAATGATTTCAGACATGTACTACGGGAAAACACCAGTGATCTCCCTTACATTTAGACATGCGCACATTTTACTTTCATTTTGTGTATAGGCCTAGACATCATTTGCAACGCGAAGCGGAAAAGACGAAAATACAGGCGAGTGTTGACTTAATGTAAGGCATGTTGTTTAAGCAGCATTGACAATGAACAATATGCATACACTTCTGCAACGTTTACCTACTACTGATTCATAAATAAGGCTCTGGATCGCGATTTCGGTGACATGCGGCCGAAGCCTCAGAGAATGGCGCATGTTGTCAGCGGCGATGACAAAAAGGAAGGTGCTTCAACCGGTCTCACTTAAAAGACCGCTTAAACCCGATTCAGCCCGCTTCAACGGTATGTATAGCAGTAATTATGCAAAAACAAACAAAATAAATGGACTTTTTACACTAGTGAATTACAGCGTCACAAGGAACGTCTTTCTCCTGACGTGTTGCAAAATTTTCGAACTGCTAAGTTGCAAACTGATTTCACTTTAGCGTTGTTTGTGAGGATATTTGGCCTTACATTTCTTCTCATTCAGTTGAAAAAAGAACATGTTATAAACATTGTATTATTAGATTCATTGTGATGTTGGCTGTCATTGAAGTTTCAATTGTTATACTACTTGATGTTTTGGAAACTTAAAAAAGTATAGTAGTTCTAAATATTATGAAATGACAGAAACATTAGGCCAAACAAATTACTTGTGTTTCTACTATCAGAAAAAAATAGGGTAGGTATGTATTAGCTAGGCATTTTATTTTTAATTTGAAAAATATCTTTACTGCGCTAATATAGAGCAGGAGTTCTGACTTTAACAGTGCATATAAAAACTTAAGGGTATTGTAGGCACACAAATCTGAGATAAGTCTGGTTAACCACACTGGTGTCGAACACACCAATAAGTATTGTGTGTATTATATATCATAGTTTATACACATCATATTACTATTAGTGTGTTCAGTATCTGTGGGGTTAGCATAAACACAATATTTGTTTTAATTGGCCTTATTTAATGATCATTAATAGGTCAGACAGGGTTCGGTTTCCAATTCAATAACTAGACCTGTTAAAACAGTTATCATTTATAACTTTAGAGATTAAATAGTTCTTAGCAGAAAAAAATGAAATATAATTATTTTTCAACATTTTCTGAGTTGTACAATTTTAGAGTATCTTCTGTCTGAAATATGAACATAACTTGTTTTATGACAAAATGTGTAAAAAAATCCTCATACTTGGGTAAAGTTTTTCTATATATAGGTCCAAAAACTACAGATAAAATCCTTAAGCACTTACAAGATACACAAATACATATTTTACGTCAATTTTGCAAAACATACAACATAAGCCCGTATTACGACAAAACATGAGTATAATAACAGAGACCAAAATATTACAACATGGAAAAATAAAAAATAAACATGTATGTGCATGTACTATACTGTAAGCACAGAAAGCACTTAATAGGCACATTGCACACAGTAAGCACATCAGCACATGGTCATTTAAGCACATTTAGATACAGCACATAAAAAACAAAACCTTAACATGGAAAGCTTAAGCACATAGTAGGCACATTTGCACACTGTAAGCAAAATAAAGGAGTGCAATGGACATCTCCATGTTTCCTGTTTAATTTCTTCTTTCTGGAAACAACCAGGGGAGAGTGATGTTCTAGCTGCTTCATCTTTTGTATTAATGAAAACCGTGAATATCTAAGTGCGTGTGTTTAAACTAATTTTGTTTTGTTTTTACTGGTACCTTTTTTTATGTACACATGTTTTACCACCTCAGAAATTAGTTTAGATGTCTTAAGCCCCCATGAGATGTGCTGGTATAAGTTGAGTTTTATGTACATTTTGTTTATATTTAGTTCTGCTACCAAAGAGATTGACGTATTAAAATGTTTGTGAAACATTTTAAAGAACTCCTCAGCTTTAATGCCTTATTTCTCACTATACAAGCTCATATTGCTATGCCTCCTATTTGTTTGAATATTGTCTCTAAACATTATTGCTGGTGCAGAAGTTATATGGTAACTATGTTCTATTTTAGGGGGGGAAAAGCAATCAATATTACAACAGACAGGGATGGTTATTGATGGGAGAAAGGAGGATGAGAAATAGGAACTGAACCAACTCTCTCATACCTTTGAGGACTTCATGAACTTTTACAGTGACATGACATTTTGAAGTCTGTCAGTTACTTTATAGAGGAGGAACCTGTGACTAAATCATTTTCTCTCAGACACATGAAAGCCGAGTCCACAGATCCTTCCAGCAGCGAATAGTTCAAATATAGTTCAAATGCTTTCCTCGCAAACTTTTCCTTAATGGAGAAGTCAGTGATCTTTACTACGGACAGATTGAATCTGTGAATTTTGATGCTGGAAGCCTGATGAATGTGATTGAACAGCCCCTACTTGATGCTGAAATCCTAATGAGTGTGATTGAACAGCCCCTACTGACTAAGGGCACAAATGTTGGAAACTACGTTTGTTTTGATCAATATAACACTATGGGTGGTGGGAGCAAATTGGAAAAACATTAAAAGAATGTTTTTAAAGATAGAAATACTGGTCATGGCTTGACCTTTTAGTTTTTGTCGAGTGAATTAAAAGTCAACGCAAATGTTAAGCAGTAAAAGAAATGTAAGATCCCTGGTATACATTGTACTTTTAACAATGCTTATGATCAATGAAAGCAATTATTTCTTAAGTTTTCAACCATATTTCTTGAAACTTCATTTCTAAATTTCATACATCAATTGTTCAAGACACTTTTAAGGTCAAGTTCATTCAGTCAAGGTGAAGGCTACAGCTTCACAACCAACAATAATGACATCTGTAATAACATAGTATGTGTTCCAGCTGGTACATTTGCAGTACTCTTTTAAAATGTATTTGAAATTAATATGTGCATCTTATTTCAAATGCTAGCCTATGAAGATGATAAAGCTGAACATATGATGTAAAAAAATTGTGAATAATTTATTCAATGGAAATAGAGGGAAAATAATGTAACTCTCCTAATCTTGTGTGTGTGTGAGTATGTATGTTTATATTTTGTTTTTCTTATTCAATATTGAAACATACAACAATGTATCATATTGTATTAGAGTGCTTTTTATCTGATTTGTTCCTAGGAACACAGATTAAAAATAGTTCCATTTTTCATAAGAAGAGACCTTTTCACTGGAGTGAATATGTAAAACACTGTATTTAAAAGCTTTTCAAAAGTATTGAGAGACTTGTAAATGTATGGGTAGCAGTAATCCACTTGTCTATCCACAATTTAGTTTCAGCAAGTTAACATCCTTAAATATTGTTCTGTAACAATATTCACAGACTGATGCAAAATTGAAACTTGAACAAAATTCACACGTATTAAAAAGCATGCATACCCTGGTCGATGTCCACACTTAACAAGATAACTTGCTTGAATATATATTGATCAATATACAAACTTAGACGATAAGTTCAAAGTTGAGTGAAATCCATGCATAATTAATTAGCATACTGTACTCTGATTGGTCAATAGTTTTTGCCAAGTAANAAATAATCAGGTATTGGTCAAAGGGGTAAATGCCAGTTTCAGTTTTTAATGTTCTATGAAATACATTGTATGGACAAAGGGAAGCAATTCCTAATTCCTATGCAAATTAATTATCCAAAGGTCTAAAATGATATATTCTAGAGGAAACTTGATACCCCTCTTCTGACAAACCTATAAAGATATACTGTACACACAAGAAGAATAACTTCACAGTGGTACACTTTTACATAAAACTTTGATTCATAACAAATTAACAGAAAATCCTTCTGTACAATATGATGGGAACTTCGTCTTTATTTTGTTCTCCATTCCAAAAATAATATATATATGTATATTTTGCCTTAGCTTTCAGTACTTTCAGTACTTTGATTTTATGTTGAGACAACTTTTCATTAATCAGTTCTTTTTGTCTGAAGCAGAAGCCATAGATGTCGGCAGTACGCATTATTTTTACAACGTAAACAAATGACTTTTTTCATAAATTATGTAAATCTAATAGCGCACGTATCTCATTTGACCCCAAGTACCAACAGATGAGAGAACAGAATACGCCGTGGCTATCACGTGCACAATTCAGTTATCTCAAGGAGGGCCTCATAGCAAAATCAAACTAACCAGTCACTTATCCCTTCCTTTCGCATTAATCACTGTATATAGAAACACAAAGTAAACTCTCTCCAAAACATGCCCATTAACCCTTGTGGTGCTGAACTGTCGCTATATGGCTATACTCCAGTGCTAAATTGTTTGAATTTTTTTTTATAATTTTTTTTTTTTAAATGGCTTTAAATATAAACTAGAAGTGTCTTCGCATTCGGTAAATGTTACGAGAGCCATCTAAAACATATTGTTAGGTTTTTTTTACAGGTTGAAGATGGATGTTTGAAACAAGATGGCTGCCATAATGACTATCAAACATGTGATAATGCTACATTCATTATCCAGCATTGGATTTAAACAAACATCAATTTATAAGTAGCTGAAATTCATCGAAACTATGAACAAGTTTACTCATGTTTTTTTTAAATAAATGGAAAAATATGTGTTTTATCACAAGTTTATGACAAGGGAGGGGTGTCAAAGATTTAGGATAAAAAAGGAGTAATGGATTTTGTATTATTTTACCTTTTTACAAACAACAGCAAATAAACTGTAAACAATCAAGGAAGGCCAATGAAACACAACTGCAAAGTATTTGTGCTTACCTTCGGACTGATTAATCTGTTTATACAGTATGTACCATCATTGAATCCGATTCAAATATAAAAGTGTGCATCAAAAATGTCAATGTTCCCATTTCATAATTATTAAAGTTTCAGTCAACATATTTACACTGTGAATTGTACCTTGTAGTTTGGTCTAAAAACTATGAGTTAATCCTCTAGAGCAGATGCTGCCTTCAGGCATTTATATGCCAATACATATTCTGCTTTAGTATGAAATAGCTCGAAGCAGGGGTCCACGCAAAGTGGCACTTTGCACTGTTTACGCTGGTAGGTTGTCTCCCTTCCTGTACGATTAGTACACCAGGGTTTGAGGATTTGAAAATTTCCATTTCTGCTGGACCACAAACAACACAACGCCGTTTTGCACATTGCCTTTTATCTGTTGGAGGCAGATGAGATGGAAAGTGGCGACCATGAAGACGTTGTATCACCTCTGCAGCAGGTCGTTTCCTTCCTCTCTGTTGGGGTCCCGATACCTCGGCAGTCTGTATCAGTTGGGATACCAGCTCCCATCTGTAAGTACGCTGTTGTACAGCATTTGGGGTCTGGTGTTTGTACAGGAGGTATGAGTTGACAACAGTCAAGTCTACAGTGTGAAAAAATACCCTTTTCCACCATTTGAGGGTCCTTCTCTCAAATATACCATTTACGACCATTTGGTCACACCTGTCTACTGCACCTATATACTTGTTGTAGCTCATGACACAATCTGGCTTGGATATCGGTAGACCATCTTCACCTACTTTGCCAGAGTTCATCATCACACCTGTAAATTCAGAGGACCCGAGAAGAATCACAGATCTATAACATTTTAGTGTGATTAAGTCACATTGTCCATGTCCATGATAATAGTTTCTCATGCAGGAGAACATTTTCACAGATTAATCATCAACCTATTCAATTTCTAAATACAATTTACCTTCATGTGCAGTTGTCAGCAATGTCACATCTTTTTTGTCTGCGAATTTGACAAGAACAAGGGTAGAATTGTTCATTGTATAAATATCTCCTTTTGCAACATGCATTTCCTTTAGCTGGCGAGGTACACCTTTTCTGTTTGTACGTAATGTTCCACAGGCTAGAGTTGCATTTAGGTAGAGGTAATAGAACAGATGAGGGTTGCTGAGATAATAATATCCCTGGTTCAGGTATGGTGCGATGAGACGTACTACCAGATCATATGTTTTCCCAAACTCGCTTACAACCTGACCATCTTTCCCATTATACAGCTCAACATGACAGCAGTATCCGTTGTCAGAGTCGCACAACATGTACATGTTCAAGCCATATTTGCATGGTTTGTCTGGATTGTACACTCTGAAATGTAAGTTTCCTCGCCAAGGAAACATAACCTCGTCAACTGCAATGTTGCTTGATGGCTTGTAAACAGCAGAAAAATTGTTAAAGGTTCTGTCTGTAAGGTACCCCGAGTTTTTGAAGTGGTGTATAGCCTGCATTGCCTCCTTCAATTGCTGCACTATTGTCAGACAAGTGGAGAAAACTCATTAAAACCAGGAAGCGGTCTCTTAGCATTACAGTTTTAAAAAATGGGGTGCTGATGACTGGATTATTTGACCAATAGTCCTGGATGTCCAACTGTTTCACAATACCCATTGCAATTGTCATTGCAAGGAAAGCCCTTATTTCTCCAGGAGTTGTTTCCATCCATCCTGAAAACCTGGAGTAAGTCCGTAATGTTGGGTGTTTCTGTAAGTACTGTTCAGCGTATCTATTTGTCTCTAGAACTATTGTATCGATTATATCATCAGATATTATTGCCTCGAAATAGTCCAAAAATGATAAGTGTCCCTCATCCTGTACGGGCAAACGAACTCCAGAATTCCCGGTGAAAGTGAAAGTAGATGGACTAAGTCCACCTACAGTCCACGATTCGTCTGAAAACGTGAATTTGTTCCATATTTGGTCAGAAGCATCCTTGGGAGAAGGGGAACAAAATTTGTATAAATGGTGGGTCTGGCCCCCCTGGGGTCTGAGAAGCGGGGCCCAATAGGGGAAACATAGCAAATTATTCTTTAAAATCCTTCCTCTTCAGTAGGAATGATAGGATTTGTTCCATAATTGGTCTGAAGCATCCTTGGGAGAAGGGGAACCAATTTTGTATAAACCATGGGTCGGGCCCCCCATGTGCCTAAGGGGCGGGGCCCAATAGGGGAAACATAGCAATTATTCTTTAAACTCCTTCTTCTTCAGTAGGAATAAAAGGATTTGGTCCATATTTGGTGTAGAGCATCCCTGGGTAAAGGGAAACCAATTTTGAATAAACAATGGGTGTGGCCCCCCTGGGTGCTGAGGGGCAGGGCCCAATAGGGGTAATATAGCAAATTCTTTAAAATCCTTCCTCTTCTGTAGGAATGAAAGGATTTGTTCCATATTTGGTTTGAAGCATCCTTGGGTGAAAGGGATCCAATTTTGTAAAAACCGTGGGTCTGGCCCCCCAGGGGACTGAGGGGTGGGGCCCAATAGGGGAAACATAGCAAATTATTCTTTAAAATCCTTCTTCTGTAGGAATGAAAGGATTTGGTCCATATTTGGTCTGAAGCATTCTTGGGTGAAGAGGATCCAATTTTGTATAAACCGAGGCTCTGGCCCCCCAAAGGACTGAGGGGTGGGGCCCAATAGGGGAAACATAGCAAATTATTCTTTAAACTCCTTCTTCTTCTGTAGGAATGAAAGGATTTGGTCCATATTTGGTGTGGAACAACCTTAGGTAAAGGGGAACCAATTTTGTATAAACGATGGGTGTGGCCCCCCTGGGACCTGAATGGCGGGGCCCAATAGGGGAAATAGAGGTTAAACCTTTATAGTCCTTCTTCTACCATAGGGATTAAGGGATTTTATCCTTATTCAGTCTGGAGCATCCTTGGGCTAAAGGGACTCAATTTCGTATAAACGGTGAGTGTGACCCACAAGAGAGGGGCCCAATAGGGGAAATAGAGGTAAATCTTCAAAATCCTTCTTCTGTAGGAATGACAGGATTTTGTCCAAATTTGGTATGATGAATTCTGTGGTGAAGGGGAACCAATTTTGTATACACGGTGTGTCTGACCCCCCTGGAGGCAGAGAGGCAGGGCCCAATAGGGGAAATAGAAGTAAAACTTTTAAATCATTTTATGCTAATTTAGTCTGGAGCATCATCCTTGGGCCAAGGGGACTCAATTTTGTATAAGCAGTAGGTGTGGTCTCCCAGGGGGCAGAAGGATGGGGCCCAATAGGAGAAATAGAGGTAAAACCTTTAAAATCCTTCTTCGACCATCGTGATTAAGGGATTTTATCCTGATTTAGTCTGGAGCATCCTTGGGCCAAAGGGACTTAATTTTGTATAAATAGTGGGTATGACCCCCCTAGGGGCATAGGGGTGGGGATCTGTTTGAAGTTTGTTCTCGCTATATCTCAAATACTGGATTGCTCTTTCTGAAATTTCATATGGGTCTCTTGTTAGGTCACCTGAGACAAAGTCTCAAGTGACCTATTGCGATCGCCTTTTGTCCGTCGTCGTCCGTCGTGCTTCCGTAAACAATTTACATTTTAAACTTTTCCTCCAAAATCCCTGATCCAATTTCAATGAAATATTGCAGAAACCTTCCATGGTCAAAGGTAAACCAAAAGTATGAATTATATGGTCCCCAGCCCCCAGGGGCATGAGGGGCGGGGCAAAAAAGGGTCAAATTGACTAAAATTTCAAAAAATCTTCGGAAGGGTCTGAAGGTGCTTAACCAAAATTGTGAATTTTCTTGTTTATATAGGGAAACCACAATTTGGACCAACATTTGTTTCATTTCCAATGGAAGTAATTCAATTTAGGTTAGCATTATCAGTATTGGATAGCAGTTTGAGTGTATGCACATAATAGCCCTGACTGACCCCCAGGGGCTGATGGGTGGGGCCAAAAAGGGTCATATTGACTGAAATTTCAAAAATCTTCTTCTCAAGACCCAGATATGGTAGAATCAAATACTCTTCATAGATGAACGGGTCTTAAGGTGCTTTACCAAACTTGTGAATTTCATGACCCTGGTGTCTTACGTTTCCCCCTGGAGAGGGGGTAAACTTTACTATAGTTTATATTGGGAAATCACATTTTGGACCAACATTTGTTAGCTCACCTGGCCCGAAGGGCCAAGTGAGCTTATGGCATGGTGTGGCATCCGGCGTCCGTCCAGTGTCTGTCTGGCGTTAACTTTTTACTTTAAACATATTTGGCCAGTAGCATGCTGGGATGAAGGGCTACCAAGTTTGTTTGACCTTGACTCACTTTCAAGGTCACAGGGGTCAAATGTCTTAAAATATTCAAACAACTTCTTCTCAATAATCAAAAGGCCCAGGGTACTGATATTCGGCCTGTAGCATGCTGGGATGAAGGACTACCAAGTTGTTCAAAAGAATTACATTGACCCACTTTCAAGGTCACAGGGGTCAAATGTCGTAAAATCTTCAAACAACTGCTACGCAATAACCAAAAAGCCCAGGGTACTGATATTGGGACTGTAGCATGCTGGGATGAAGGACTGCCAAGTTTGTTTAAATGAGTGACCTTGACCCACGTTCAACCTAATGTCCTTGTTCAACATTCAAGGTCACAGGCGTCATATGTTTAAATCTTTTAATAGGTTCTTATAAATCAAACACTGATATTCTGCCTGTAGCTGTATTTTAATCCACTTTTAAGATTACAAGTGTGAAATTAATACCAGGTGAGCGATGCAGGCCCATTGGGCCTCTTGTTTAATTTCCATCGGAAGTAATTCAATTATTTCAAATTTGGTTAGCATTATCAGTATTGGATAGCAGTTTGATTGTATGCACATATCGGCCCTGACTGACCCCCAGGTATACCTTTGTATACAACATTGGCTGCCTATATCAACATTAAATGTTTCTCAGACGTCATTTCGCACTCTGGGAATCCCCCACTTCTCAGTCAGCTACTGTAGACTTGCACAAGTTCATGCCTGATACTTGGTATAACTGAATTTTCATTGACTACAAACACTGCACATTTTGTTACTCCTTATTTTGTGCTCTAAGGACATTTTCAGAAATATCTATTAATTGAATTGCGAAAGACCACGATCAAACCCAAATCAGTCCTAACGGTGAAAAGCCTGTCAAATTGTTAGCCTACAATTTCTAGTTATTCTTATTATTCTTATTCTTCTGTCATGTAGCTAAGCTTTTGATTGGTAGCAGATATGTTAATAGTCTTTCAAGGTATTAAGGTGTCATTTCAACATTTTCAAGTAGGTAAAAAGTCCAATATGGCCACAAGACGTCAAAGGTCAAAAATTTTAAAATGGTCATTACTCAAAAAACCTTGATTATACAGCATTCATGCAATTATGTTACTTTTTAAGATATTCTTCGGGGCTAACTTTTTCACATGACATGTTGGATCAAATGTTTCAAATTTTTTACCTTTTTTTTTTTTTTTTTTTTAAAATTTTTTCCTTTTTTTTTTTTTTTTTTTGAAAGACTTTGTAGATGATAGAAAATGTTATTCCAAAGATTTTGATGACTTCAATTTATCTATTACATCCTACGCCATTTTGAATATTTCCTTTAATCCATCTGTGAATGATATATTAATCATCATATATAGACCATGTGATCATGTTGTCAGCTTAATCCGTTTTGTATTTATCAAGCTAGTAGAACTTTATTTTGGGCTAGTGGATTCTTAGTGTCTACTAGCCCCGGTCTAGTATCCTCAAAAAATATGTACTCACCTGTTTTATGGTTGTAAGTGTGAGATTAATACCAGTTGAGCCATGCAGGCCCATTGGGCCTCTTGTTTGAATGACTTTTACTCAAGGCACTGATATTTTTCCTGTAGCTTTATTTTAGTCCACTTTTAAGGTTACAGGTGTGAGATTAATACCAGGTGAGCAATGCAAGAGGCCCATGTTTGGCTAGTAACATTGGGCCTCTTGTATTACTATTTAAATTCACAATGTTTCTATTTCATGTTCCTTTGATTTCATGACTGTTTCCAAAAGTTAACAATAAATGATAATTTAATTGTGACTAAGAGGCACATCTCAACAAAAAAAGGAATTCATGATCAGCACGTTTTGAAGGAAACACCTACATTTATGTTTCAGCATCAAATGTATGTATCCATTGCAGTTCCTCCTCGAATAGTCAGTCTCAGCTACACACAAGGAGACGTTGATGTAACTGAGAATGGATCTATGTCACTGTTCTGTTCTGTGGAAAGTTACCCTCCGTCTACAATCCAGTGGTATTATAAAGCTAACAACACAGTCCTACTGACCACCCCGGACGTACTGGACAGCACCTACACCCTGGCTACCGCTAGCTGTCTAGACACAGGAGTCTATACCTGTTCTGCACGGAATAGTGTCGATAATATAGATGTTACCAGGGATATATATATCAACGTTTTGTGTAAGTAATTTTCCATGTGTCACCATAAGGACTAATAATTTTTATACACCCGTCAAATTTGACGGGAGTATTATGGTATGGCATTGTCCATCCGCGTAAACTTTTGTTTGTCTGGCAATCTCCTCCTACATTTTTTAACCGATTTCTTTGAAACTTGGTATACATTATAATCATGATGTAAAGTTGTGTCTCCCTTAAAAGAATTTTTGATTCGACTATTTTTCCAAAAGTTATTGCCCTTTGTTCATTTTAGTATTTGATTTTGGCCGGCTATCTCCTCCTACATTTTTGAATGGATCTCTTTGAAACTTCGTAGGCTAAATCATCATGATATGTTGTTGTGTCTCCTTGAAAAGAATTTTGATTCGACAGTTTTTCAAAAAGTTATTGCCCTTTGTTCATTTCAGTATTTGATTTTTGTCCGGCAATCTCGTCCTACATTTTTCAACGGATCTCTTTGAAACTTAGTATACATTATAATCATGATATGAAGTTTTGTCTCCCTTAAAAGAATTTTGATTCGACAATTTTCCTAAAGGTTATTGTCCTTTGTTCATTTCAGTATTTGATTTTTTTATTTGGAGATTTCTCTCCTACATTTTTATAGCATGTCAGCTAACCACTCTTTGAATGATGCAGATCTTATTTCAATGTAAGAAAGTATATAACACTATATGTCATTCGACGGGCGTATATGGTTCCGCCCCGTGGTACTCTTGTTAACTCACCTGGCCCAAAGAGCCAGGTCAGCTTCACCAATTTTCAAGGTCATAGCTATAGGAGTCAAATATGTTCAAATCTTTAAACATTTTCTTCTGAATAACCAGTAGGCCCAGGATGATTATATATGGCCAATTACATGCGAGGATGAAAGGCTACAAATTTTGTCCAAAGGAATGGCCTTGACTTATATTCAAGGTCACATGGGTCATTTATCTTAAAAAAAATCAAACAACTTCTTCTGAATAACAGACAGGCCGAGGGTGATAACATTTGGCTAGTAACATGCTGGGATAAAGGGCAACCAAGTTTGTTCTAATGATTGACCTTCACCAATATTCAACGTCACATGAGTCAAATATGTTAAAATCTTTTACAACTTCTGAATAACCAGGAGGCCCAAGATGTTGATATTAAGCCAGTTAGATGCTGGGATGAAGGGCTATCAGGTTCGTTGAAATGAGTGATCTCAAAATATTCAAGGTGATTGGGTTCAAATTTGTATAAAATGGTTAAAGGACTTTTTCTGAATAACCAAAATGTGCTGGGTGATTGTTTGTTCACGTGAATTACCTTGACACACTTTCAAAGTCACATCTTGTCAATTGTGCATAAATCTATAAACAAAAGCTACATGTATAGTGTGGTGATATTTGGCAAGTTGCATTCTGGGAGGAAGGGCTATGAAGTTTGTTCAACTTAATGTCCATGTTTGACTTCCAAGGTCACAGGGGTCAAATGTGTTTAAACTGTTTAACAGGTTCTTTTGAATATCTTTTGATACTTTACCTATGGCTTTATCATAGTCCACTTTTAAAATTAGAGTTATGAGATTAATACCAGGTGAGTAATACAGGCAAATTGTGCCTCTTGTTTCAGGATCTCTTCTTTTATTGTCTTTTTCTCTTCTTTGACACCGGCTGGTCGGTTGGTGCAGTGGATAGCACACTTGCTTTTCACTAAGGCGGCTGCAGTTCAATTCCCCGATCGGACATGAACAGGTTGGGGTCACCTGCCTGACCATTTGGGTTTTCTCCAAGTACTCCAGTTTCCCCCCACATTAAGACCCCCCCACCCCC